GGTGGCTGCTGTGGCTTCTCTTGTTGCTGCTGCTGCCCGTGTGGCTACTCCGGGTCATGGGCTGGTGCGTTAGGGTTAGGGGTAGAACCAGCAGTTGGTGACTCTTCATGATGAGGTGCAACTTCTTTTTGTTCCTCTTTCTGCTCCTCTACCTCCTCTCCAAGGTCCTCCCATGCCCCCTCAAAGATGGAAAAGGTGTAGGGATCTTGGAGGGAGCTCCCAACTGTACCAGCACCATGCTTCTTCCACCCCTTCTAGCTCAGCCCCTCGTGAAAAACCACATCCTGGCTTTCCACCACCCGCTGATCCGCCACACTCCACAACATCTAAGCTTTGCTCCTCTCCGATACCCCAAGGAAAATGCCCCTATTGTGCCTTAGGATCCAGCTTCCTCCGTTGCTGGTCGGGCACTTTGTACTACGCCATGCACCCACACACTCGTGCCATGGACACACTAGGCACCTTCCTGGTCCACATGAAGTAAGGGGTCTTGCCCCCTAGCCCCTTGCTGCCCATTCTGTTCTTAACCCAGTTGGCATATTGCACTGCTGCCTCCCACCAAATATGGTCCAGCTGTGCATGAGCAAGTATGGCTCGGGCAAGGTCAATGAGGGTCTGGTTTAGCCGCTCCACTGCCCCATTTTGCTACGGTGTGTAGGCAACTGAAAGCTGGTGGGTGATGCCCTTGTTTTCAAGGAAAGTCTCCAGATCCTTCCCCATGTACTCCCCACCCCGATCAGACCTTCGCCCCCGCTTCCCTCTCCGCATAGCGTATCCAACGCTTGAAGACCTTGGCCACCTCATCCTTGGTTTTCACCAAGGCAACCCAACTTAGGCGGCTGAAGTCATCCAAGAAAGTGATGAAGTATTTGCTGCCCTTCTCCCTATCCGGTATTTGCATGGGGCCACATACATCCGTGTGCACCAACTCAAGAGGTGCGGAGGCTCTAGTGGTGGAGGTAGGGAAACATGTCCTTGGCAGCTTCCCGGTCGTGCAATCAGGGCACTTGCTTGGCTGCCCACCACCCTCCTTGATCTCCACACCCTTCAGCTCCCCCTTCTTCACACACTCCACAAGTTGCTGCCTTCTTGCATGCCCCATGCGTAGGTGCAGCAAATCTGCCATCACTTGCTCCACGTCCCTCCAACGGGTGCTACAAGCGGCTTCCTCGGCTTAAACACCATGTGCCCTCTCCACGTGAGGCACACAAACTGGAACAAGATATAGACCCTTCTCTAATTTGGCCTCCATCACCACAGCTCCACCCTTGCGAACCGTGCCACCTTCCATGGTGAAGGTGCATATGTATTCTTGCCTCGCAAGTTGAGAGCATGAGAGAAGGTTGGCTGCCAATTCAGGAACATGAAGCACACCCTTCACATTCAGCACCTCCACCTCCTTCCCCTTGACGGTGATGGTGCCGATACCGATTGTTTGCAGCGTATCTACGCTCCCCACAATCACATTTCTGGAGTTAGGTGGGAGGGAGTGATAGGTGGTGAAGAGGTCGCGCCGAGGTACCATTCTACAGGTTGGTCCAGAGTCTAGAATGAGCTGATTGGGGTCAGCCAACGTACGACCAGCAAGAGCCTTCTCCTTCTCTAAGGATAAGAAGGAGAAGCCATCATCTGATAAGTCCTCCTTTCCCTTCTTATCCTCGTTTACCGCCGCTGCTGCCACTTTCTTTTTGCTGCCCTTCTTGTTCCATGCTCCATTCTTCATCCTCCTCTCCACCCACTCAGGCCTAGTGACAGGTGGAGCCTCTCCTGGGTAGCCTTGAGGCTTCCACCCATCTAATCGGCTCCAGCACTCCTTCCAAGAGTGCTTCCGGTTGCATCCAGGGACGAGGCACTTGTCGAGCTCCTTCTTCTTCCCCCACCTCCGTGCCGCTGCTGGTATTTCTTGGAGGCAGCCCTATCACCTGCCCCCATTCCCCCTTCAACTCCTCTACCAGGACCCCGTTTGCGAGCCTCATCAGAGACCAACACCTCCCATATCCAGGGCTTGGTCCATTTCTGTTGCTCAAGGTGAAGGTACTGCAGTAGGGCCTCGTTCGCCCCTTGGTCCAGCCCCTGGAGTGCGGTGTAGATGGTCTCCTTCTCATCTACAGTGTAGTTCAACTCATCTAAGGCTCTCACATACTCATCCACCCTCTAGAGATACTGCACCATGGTCTCCCCATCCCCATAGTTGTGTTCCATGGTGTAAAACCGCTTTTTCCAGGTGAGTATGCTTAGCAGCCCTTTTTGCAAGTGCCGATCTTGAACTCTCTTCCATGCTTGGGTAGCTGCTCCTTGCTTCCCCTTCAGGTCAATCAGCATCTTTAGGAGCTCTAGTTGGCCTTCCAAGGCACAACACAGGTACTGGAACGCTTGCTTGTCCTTGCGGTCCCATACGTCATGTGCCTTAACAATCTCCTCCGCACTAGGCCGTTGCCTTCCTGTTCGCGATGCTGCTGATCCACCTCCACTTCCCTCAGTTATGGATGAGCTAGAGGCCCCTTCAGCCCCTTCTCCTACTTGGCTAGAGACTCCAGTAGATGCCTTTCCTTCATTAGGTTCAGGTCTTCGCTCCGATCCTTCCAAAACGCCCAGAGACTCCAGTAGATGCCTTTCCTTCATTAGCTTCAGGTCTTCGCTCCGATCCCTCCAAAACGCCCTCTAGGTCTTTAATACCTAGCCACAGCGTAAACTGGAACCGCCATAGCGAAAAATCAGAGCCGATGAACCTAGGAGGGCCATCTAATTTCTAGGCCATAACCGACCCTAGATCTGGAGGTTCTTAAGCCAACTCAAAATATGATAATAGGAGGGAATGTCGCAGGCCTAGCCAGCTCTGATACCACTGATGGAAAGCATGCGAATCTAAAGAGCGTACAAGAGATTAAGTCCGCCGACTTCGATGGAACATTGCGTGCATCTCACATAACCTTAAACCATGAGCAGGTACGCATTGTAAAGGGTTTAATCTCTCATTTATAGAATGGTAACGCACGCCTTCAACCAAGATCTAGGCCGATCGCTACCACGATTTAAGTGCGACGGGGTCAGACCCTCAGATTCACTTTTAGGGACGTTGATGCACCAGGGTCCCTGTGAAAAAAGCCTGAATTTTCAGGGTTCCTAAAACAAAAAGCCTGAATTTTCAGTGTTCCGGAAAACAAAAGCCTGAATTTTCAATCACATCATGCGATTGTGCAAAAGGGTATCCTTCACGAACATGGAAGTAGAGGGATTCGAAACGGCAACCTGTCCATTCGGTGTCTATTTCGCTAACCACTAAGCCAGTTCATCGACGCAATGCTTAGTAATTTTTAACCATGTTTTTATTATGAGGAAATGTTTGTTGACTTATTGTCTCGGGTGTTTTACGGGAAGGATTCGGAATGTGCATTCAGTGTACACTTCGATAAAAGTCTGAAACATCAGTGTTAGCTATGAAGTAAAGGCTGAAAAAATCAGTGTCACAAAAATCTCAACACTGAAAATTCAGTGTAGGTACACAAAACTAGGCTGAAAATCAGGAATTTCAGGGGAAAATTCCTGATATCGTAGGGCCTGGACGGGGTATTCTGGCGAAATTTCTTGGCAGCCATGGATTATATCAAGAAAGTAGCTTTAGCAAGAGTTCAGATATGCAAAGTGACAAGTTGTTCAAACCCTACCAACCCAACCCTAGCCCCACAACAATCCTCAACAACCCAAAGTGTTAAACTAGCAACACCAAAGGTGTTGTAATGAATATCGAAGGTTTGTTGGTGCTTGTTGGGTGCGAGATCAATTCCAGCCTGCAACAATTCTAACCACCACATTTTGCCCAAACTCTTAGCCCACAACCAGCTAGAACAAAATACCACAACCACCTACACAATTAACAGTGTCCACATGGCATAGCTTTGCATGGTGTATCCACATGGGCTGGCGTGTTGATTGTGTGTCCATATGGCATAACATCGTCATTGTGTATCGATAGAGCAACGCTAATCCCCTTATGTCCTCCCAATAATGCAATTAGCTATTGTATCCATGCCGTGATTCAATCCCTATATCTTATATACTTACCCCCTCTGAATGACCGGATATTGTATGCATTGAATGCGCCATGAAACCATGACGGATGGCGGACCCAACGCCATCTGAGCGGTGCCGATTGTATGACCAGCGTCAACATAGTGTCCATTGGCAACTCAAAGCCCCTATTAGTTTCCTTCGCATGGGGCTAACTGCTCTTTCGCCAAGTACGGAATAGGTTGCCTCATTCAATGATCTTCTTGCGCTCTACATGTTGGCTGCACCCCAGGCCCTACGATATCAGGAATTTTTCCCTGAAATTCCTGATTTCCAGGGTTTTTTTTTAACCTACACTGATTTTCCAGTGTTCAGCTTTTTGTGGGGCTGATTTTTCAGCCTTCACCTAGCACATGACTCTGAACTTTCAGCAATTTTTTTTTAGTGACACTGATTCCACTACGTTGTAACGAATCCGACCCTGAAAGCGATTCCTACACGGTTCGTGTGTAGTTGCCCGGCTGTACAGGGAATATCAGATTCCCGCGGTGTCAGCAGGGCGTGGCGGTGAGTAGCAGACAAATTTGCCTCATAGAGGGATGCGTTGTTGGCGCGCGTGGTGCGATGATTGGCCACTTTGATAGCATTTCCTGATTTGGCCAATTACAGGGTTGCAGCACAGCGATGCTGGCAGGCAGCGCAACGAGGGATTCAGGCCCATGTGAAGCATCTGTGGTCCTCTGGCCCGTTTTGTCTAAGTCGTGCTGGCAAGCACGGATGCATCCACGCCGCCCAGCCGTGCTGCCAGCCATCCAGTCTCCCACCCCAGTCTGCTCCATGCTTTCCTTCCATCTAGCATGTGTAAGGTTTCATCGCGTTGCTGCCTGGTGTACCAAGAGGCAGTCAGCCGTGTGTCCTCTCTTCCTGGCAAACCTCCATCGTTCAGCTAGCTAGGGAGTCCCGTTAGATGCTGCTTGTTCACAGCGCAATCAATGGCGGACCACCCGGACGCCATTGAACGACCTGATGACCCCGGCGATGAACCCGCTCATCGTTCGCCAATTGATCTGTCCGCGGCCGTTACCGGGCTGGATCTGCTATTCTCCAACTTAGCGGCAGTAGATAACCATGGAAAGGCGCCTGCAGTCGCGCCGACCGTCGATGTTCCATTTGAACCCATCGACGAGCCTCTGTGTCCCTCCCCTACTGCGCCCGTGTTGGAGCAAGACAGCTCCAACCCTTCAGGTGAAGAAATCGCGGCGGTGCCAGTGGCTAAGAAGTCCGCCAGGTACACGCAGTCAACGCTGCCGTGGCCCAAGAAGGGAGGTCCCGCTGGTGCAACACCGGCTTCGCCAGCCGACCAACTGTCGACGCCCGCGACCGCAGGCACGCAGGCGTCGCCCTCAACACCTGGGCCTTCTAAACCGGCAGGGCCAGACGCAACCTACGCGGAGGCTCTGTATAAGTACAAAAGCGAGTGGCTCGAGCGGTTTTCTTGGCTTATTCTGCTAAAAAAAGCTGACGGTTTCCCCGCTTTCAAGTGCAGCATCTGTACGGAGCACGCAGGCTACGCTGGACCGTGTGGGAGAGGCGGAAAGGGCGCCACAGACGTTCAGACGCAGGCGTTCAAACGGCATGCGGCAACTACCAAGCACAAGGAGGCGTTGAAACACCAGCAGAAGCTTCTCGACGACGTCGCTACGCAGCCACGGATCAACGGCGACAATCTCGCTCGCGACACGGAGAAGGAGCGGGTCGTCAAGCTCCTCGACTCCCTGCTCTTCGTGACCAAGCAAGATGCACCCATAGAGTTATGGGTGAATCTTGTGCGCTACCTCGCGCGACTCAAGGTGCCCGGGTTCCCAGCAAAAGGCTACGGAACCTATTATACTACGTGAGTGTTGAATTAATCTAACTGCAACCGTGTTTGTGAAACTCAACCGAATTATCTGACGTTGTGTTGTTTGACATGCGCTGCAGCTACGGCTTCGGGCAGCTGACACAGTCGATGGCCACATGGTTGCACACAACGCAACTGCAGCACATCCTCAGCAGCCCATACATTGGCGTCACGTGCGACGAAAGCACGGACAGGTGTCGGGGAAAGCATATGATTGTTTTCGCGACATTCATCCGTGAAAATCGTCCCGTGACTGAGTTCCTTGCCCTGCTGACCGTGGAGAAGGGCGATGCAGCCTCTCTCCTCTCAGTGCTCTTGTCCCACCTGCAGGCCCTAGGCATTGAAATGGCGAGGATATCCGGCATAAGCACTGACGGAGCGAGTGTGATGATGGGGAAACACAACGGCCTTGTCGCTCGACTTCGCCTCCGCATCCCGCATCTTGTTTCGAGCCACTGCATCGCCCACAGGTCAGTTTTCATCTTCTGTTTACTGCTTCCATACAGTCCCTGCTGCATCCCCTGCTAACCCCTCCTTGAGCCGGTTTTAATGCTGGTGTGCATGCAGGGAGGCCCTCGCAGCAAAGGACGCCGCTGAACAACTCCCCGAGTTCGGCATGGTGGACTCCCTGCTCTGCCAAGTGGCAGAGCATTTGGGGCGTTCTGGCCCGTGGCATCAACGCTTCATTGGCCTGCAGGAGGTGTTCACGAAAACAAACCTGGAGCTACAAGGGATCCACGACGTCCGCTGGCTCTCCCGCGGTGACGCCATTCTGCGCGCGGTAGAGGTCTTCCCCGCGCTGATCGTGATGCTGTATGAGTGGGACATCACCCTCTACGAGCTCGCCACGAGCTACAGGTTTCACTTTCTGCTATACTTCCTTGCAGACGTCCTCGAGCAGCTCAATGTGCTGAACAGGGCATTCCAGCAGCGTGAGGTGAGCTTGGTTACTATCGTTGCTGGATTGTGTGCCTTGTTTCGGTTTGTGAGTCACTGTTTGATGTACTGCTTAAGCAGAATCTGCTTTGCACTGATTTGGCCTTCTCTCCATCCTCTGTTCGCCCTGTTGACCCCTAACAGCTGGACATTGCAAGTGTCCACGGGCAGATCCGCCGGTCGATTTCATTCCTAGAGTCCCGCTACGTCGACTGTGGTGACGACTTTGGAGGCGGGGTGAGCGCGCGCCTCTCCCCGTTCATCAAGAAGCACGGGCTGTTAAAGTACTAGCGAGAGTTTGGCTTAGGAGCCATAGTAGCTTAGGTGATTTGGTGAAGTTCGAGGGTGTAGGGTGTAAGGAAAAATGTCGAGAGAATTGTGGAAGGAGAATGGTGAAACTAGAAAGAAGGGGGATACAAGTAGTAAGCCCTAAAAGGGTTATACTCACTTTTGAGTACCCCACTACAGACTAGACATGCATTATAATCTGACACACCCCCATAGTCAAAGTGGGGTATAATCAGTACAGCATGCAGGCATAGAGCTAGAGTTCACAATAGGTAAGTAAGGCTAGAGCTAATCACAGAGGGCAAGTGAGGAGGAGGAGAGACTGTGGGGGAGAGAAGATGGGAGGCGACTGCTGACGCTGCAGACACACAGACGAGCTGCTGGCTCAGTGGCTACCGAAGCAAAGGCCCGGACTACAGGAGTAACTGGCTCCGCGGCTAAAAGTAGCGGCAGACGAGCAACTGACCCACAGGCGACTGGCGACTACCGGAGATTGTAGCCTCCGGACTGCTGGTGCTGCTGACGACAAGACTGCTGCCTCCACTTAACCTCCCCCAGCTGCCCAACGCCCCTCTCACACACCCCCTGCTCAAACCCTAGCCCTACACCCACAGCACCCCCTTAAACCCTAAACCCCAGACTCCCACACATCCACCCCCCTCAGCGATAGCTGCAGCAGTGGGAGACGAAGGAGGAGGAGGAGGAGGAGGGGACGGCACGCACAACCGACACCCCCACACCCACCCCCCCACGGCTGCACCGGGTCCAGGAGCGGCTGCTGCAGGGGCCAGGGGCGGCTGCTGCTGGGGCGGCTGCTCCAGGGGCTGCTGCTGCTGGGGCGGCTGCTCCAGGGGCTGCTGCTGCTGGGGCGGCTGCTCCAGGGGCTGCTGCTGGGGCGGCTGCTCCAGGGGCTGCTGCTGCTGGGGCGGCTGCTCCAGGGGCTGCTGCTGCTGGGGCTGCTCCTGCTGGGGCGGCTGCTGCTGGGGCGGCTGCTCCAGGGGCTGCTGCTGCTGGGGCGGCTGCTCCAGGGGCTGCTGCTGCTGGGGCGGCTGCTCCAGGGGCTGCTGCTGGGGCGGCTGCTCCAGGGGCTGCTGCTGCTGGGGCGGCTGCTCCAGGGGCTGCTGCTGCTGGGGCTGCTCCTGCTGGGGCGGCTGCTGCTGGGGCGGCTGCTCCAGGGGCTGCTGCTGCTGGGGCGGCTGCTCCAGGGGCTGCTGCTGCTGGGGCGGCTGCTCCAGGGGCTGCTGCTGCTGGGGCGGCTGCTCCAGGGGCTGCTGCTGCTGGGGCTGCTCCTGCTGGGGCGGCTGCTGCTGGGGCGGCTGCTCCAGGGGCTGCTGCTGCCGGGGCGGCTGCTCCAGGGGCTGCTGCTGCTGGGGCGGCTGCTCCAGGGGCTGCAGCTGCTGGGGCGGCTGCTCCAGGGGCTGCTGCTGCTGGGGCGGCTGCTCCAGGTGCTGCTGCTGCTGGGGCGGCTGCTCCAGGGGCTGCTGCTGCAGCGGAAATTAGGAGGGAGGGGAGGGGAAGGGCGCGGCCCCCAGGGTGCCCTGACAGGCGACCTGCTAGGGAGCCGCGCAGGCCCCCGAAAGTGCCTCGACGGGCGACGGGAGGGGACCGCGCGCAGGCCCCTAAGGCGCCGTGACGAGGCAATGGGAGGGGCCGGCTTGCGGGCCCCGAAAGTGCCGCGACGAGGCGACGGGAGGGGCCTGCGTGCGGGCCCCCAAAACGCCGCGACGAGGCGACGGTCGGGGCCAGTGCGCGGGCCCCCAAGACGCCGCAACGAGGTAGGAACCCGCCGCGCGCCTCGGGGCGCACGGCGGGCAGAAAACCGCCACGCATTCCGAGCGCGTGGCGGGAAGAAAAATAGAATGTCGGGCGCCACGGGGCGCGCGACACACAGTAGGGCAGCGGAAGTAAGTGGGCCCACAGGCCAGGAGCTTTAAGCTCTGATACCATGTTAAAGTACTAGCGAGAGTTTGGCTTAGGAGCCATAGTAGCTTAGGTGATTTGGTGAAGTTCGAGGGTGTAGGGTGTAAGGAAAAATGTCGAGAGAATTGTGGAAGGAGAATGGTGAAACTAGAAAGAAGGGGGATACAAGTAGTAAGCCCTAAAAGGGTTATACTCACTTTTGAGTACCCCACTACAGACTAGACATGCATTATAATCTGACACGGGCCTGAGGGGGGCAATCCCGAGGTGAAGGTGCAGGGAGTCGACTCGGACGGGCGGCCCACGACACACACCTTCGAGCTGCACGAGAAGCCGAGCGAAGACTACCCGACCCTCGGCTCCCACGACGCCTGCGTCGATCTCTGCACCACCTTCGCCGAGACGCTCGTGCAAAACCTCAGCACACGGTTCCAGGACCTGGACTCCCTGGTGGGAGTGCGGCTGTTCATGCCTGACGAGTGGGAGCTGGGGAGAGCAGAGCGCCACAGGCAGTGTCTCGAGTGGCTCGAGTCTCTCGTGAGGCTGTTCAGGGCACAGGACACGGACTACATCATTCCAGGTATTCCCGCTCTCGCACTGTTGCTGTCCGTCTTATTGTGTCATTGCATTTCATCAATGTATGGTGTACGCACTTGCCAGCCTTTCAAAAACCCCCTCTCTCTCTCCCTTCCGCATTATGTGGCAGGGGTCGACAAGCGGCGTGCGATCAAGGAGCTGCGGGCCTTCTGCCCCATCCTCGCAGGTGCCCCGAAGAACGAGCGGAGCTTCCACGCAGGCCTAACAGCAATGCTGAAGACAAGCGACTGGGCGACTGGCTACCCCAATCTGGTGCGTCTCTGGGTGGCTATCGCCGTGCTGCCGCTGAGCACAGTGGAGTGTGAGCGCGGCTTCTCACGCCAAAACGTTATCAAATCGTGGCAGCGGGGGAGCTTGAAGGACGCCCGCCTCGAAGACCTCGTCACCATGTCTCTACTCGAGTACGAGCCCAACTACGATGAGGTGGTGCAGATCTGGCGCAGCTACAAGAAGCGCCGCCCATTCGGCAATGTGGCGGCACCACCCGAAAGAGAGGGAGAGGGCAGGGATAGCACGGGAAAGGAGGCCCTAGAGGAGGAAGAGTGGGCAGAACGACAGGCTAAGGGAAGAGAAGATGATGATGACAAGCAGGCCTCATCAGATGATGATTACTGAACTCACCCAGACCCAGAGTCATGCTGGATGCAATGCATAGCTAGCTAGCAAGCAAGATAGGCTTTGGTTTACAACACAGATAGATAGATTGAAGGCTGTTTGCGACCTTCATAGAGTTTTTAAGTTAAAAAATCAGCTTCACTACTATCAGCCTTTTTCTATAGGTGACACTGATGCATCAGACTTTTTTTTTAAGTAACACTGAACTTTCAGGCTTTTTTCCTAGGCGACCCTGTCGATCAGGGTCTAGGGCCAGAGGGACCCTGATACCCTTACCTGCCTCAAAGTGAATCTGAGGGCCTGCCGCACCCCATGTAATAGAGCATTTGATACGAGCTTCACAGGATGCAGGTAAAAATGTATGAGGTGTATAATATCGTTGTGGCTATTGCTGAATGCACCTCTTTGGAATAAAGGTGTCCAAAACTTATCGTGCAGGACGCAGGCGAGGTTGTGAAATTGCATCTTGGTGCTATGTCGAGTGCCTTTTGGACACGGATGGGGGATGGCGTTATGACAGCGGAGAATTTACTAGCCCGTGATGATAGCCCATTGAGAGAGGTGAAATTTGACTTTTTAAAGTGGGAGAAGAACAAAAAGGGAGGTATTTGGAGAGTTGTTGGGAACGAAAGCGGCGGTTCACGTAATCAAGCGGAACCAATCATTCATCCAACTAAAGGTGCGTGTGTTCAACAGATGATGTGATAGGTGGACCGTGGCTCTAACATGTACGTGTATTCCCTGCTGTTGTGTGCCCATGCAGAAGAGGATGACTCTTCCATGCCGTGCGACAACAGACCACCACATTTGACTCCGTGCACCACGAGCGTTGCTGACAGTGAAGGACCTGGTCGGGTGCGTCTTGATGCGGGCTGTGGAACGGGGCAGGATCAACGGAGAGCGCCCGACTCACCGAGAGGGCGTCGACGAGGTCACCCTCGTGGAAGCGCTACGACAGCTCCGACTGCCCATCAGACTCACTATCCGCATAGGACGAGGGAGGGCGAGGACGCCTCCAAGTGGTTGCATGATATGCGCGGAGATGTGCAGATAGGAAGAGCAGGAAGGGGGGAACAGCAGGACACAAAAAAACAAAAAGGGAGTGGCAATGTGTTGTGTTGTGTGTGCGGAGGTGGCAAAACCAGGCAGAGCACAGAACACAGAGCACCGCACACCGAGCACAGAGCACCAATCATAGAGGGCGGAGCACAAATCATCGAGAACAGAGCAGATAGCAGAGGGCGGAGAGTAGAGAGCAGAGAGTACCATTCGGTTGGCGAGCCACCTGGGGATCTCCTCCTTCTCTATGAACCTGTCGACAGCTACGTCAGCTGCTGCGTCGCCTGCCCCAACCGCCTCAGCCGCAGCAGCTTGAGCAGCCTCAACGCCTGGCTGGCGGGGAAGGGGGGAGACAGACAGGGGGGGAGGGGGGGCCCGAAGGAAGCGGGGATGGACTAACGGCTGGGAAGCAGGGGAGGGGATAACGGGAAGAAAGAAGAGGATGGGGAGAAGCAGGGTTGGGGATACGGGGAAAGGAAGAGGATGCGTGTACGTAGGGAAGGGGATGGGGGGAAGCAGGGTAGGGGATGGGGGGAATCAGGGAAAGGGATGGGGGGAAGCAAGACAGGGGATGGGGGGAAGCAGGGCACGCGATGGGGGGAAGTAGGGAGGGGGATGGGGGGTAGCAGGGAGGGGGATGGGGGAAAGCAGGGAAGATGATGGGGGAAGCAGGGAAGGGGATGGGGGGAAGCAGGGAAGATGATGGGGGAAGTAGGGAAGGGGATGGGGCGAAGCAGGGCAAGGGACATGGGGAAGCAGGGAAGGGGAAGGGGTGAGGCAGGGCAGGGGAGGGGAGAAAGCAGGGCAGGGGAGGGGTGGAAGCAGGGCTGGCGATGAAGGGAAAGAATCAAGAGGATGGGGGGAAGCAGGGCATGGGATGGGGGAAAGCAGGGAAGGGGATGAGGGGAAGCAAGAAAGGGGTATAAGTGGGGGGAAGGAAGGCGATTACCGGAGGGAGGGAAAAGAGGGAATAGTGGGAGAAAAGGTAGGGTGACACGTGTGCGACATGGGAAGGGAGTCCATTGGGAAGGCGAGGGCGGCGAGGCGCGGATGGCAGGGTGACGGGGAGAGAATGGATGGGGATTGCGAGGGCGACGGGGAGAGAATTAACGGGGATTGCGAGGGCGACGGGGAGAGAATTGACGGGGATTGCGAGGGAGACGGGGAGAAAAATGACGGGGTTTGCGAGGGCGACGGGGAGAGAGGGAGACAGGGATTGTGAGGGGACGAGAGGAAGGGAAGGGGCCGATTCGAGCAGACGGGGACGGGAGATGTGCGGGCGACGCGAAGGGAAGGCGACGGGAAGGGAGAGCAAGGGGAAGGACGGGAAGGGAGAGGACGGGAAGGGAGAGCGACGGGAAGGGAGGGCGACGGGAACAAGGAAGGGCAACGGGCGGATCACCGCGCGGTCCCCCCCCCACTCCCCCATCCTCTCCGTCGCGCTCCCCCGCGTCGTCCCCCACCCAATGCTATTCCCCATAGCTCATCCCCTTGGCGAACCACCCGCTGAGAATCGCGCGCGCAAGCATGGTACTGAGTCCCGCTCTTGCCCACATCGGTGGATGGCGAACCGTGTGAAGATGTGATAGTTGTTGCTGGCTACGGTCCGAGGTGTTCGCGAAGAGATGTGAGGCGGAAAGGCGCGGATTGAGAGCGACTGCTATCGCGCGACGATGGCGGAAGCCGATCGGAAGGCACGACGTTTCCCTAGTAGTCTGTAGATTGTGTGCTTTCCTCACGTCGGTGGGAAGTACCCTCGGGAAGTGGCGGAGTGCGTAAAATGGAATTGTGTGTGATTAGGAAATCCAAATTACTGTCACGTAAGTAGTGCTTTTGAACGTTGAGAGGTGTTATGAATGAACTTGCAGAGTGCGCAGTAAAACGAATAACGAGAATGATTGGCACTGAATTACTGAATGAGGAAACAATGAAGTAGCGAGGCCTAAATAGGGGAAAACCTAGCTAGGCGGGGGGTTCGGGATGGGATGGTTCGGTGATGGTTGCGTTTGGAGCGGAGGCCGATTCGGGAGTGGTTCGGTGCGACGAAATAGGCAAGACAGGTTCGTCGCGTGACCCTCGGGATGGCCTCGCTAAAGAGTGCCTCAGTAAGGATTTGTAAATCCTTACACTCTCCCACCTTCTAAAGAAGGCTGCCCTGTACTAAAAACAGATCTCACACTAGCGAGGATGCCATCGATCTCCTCTTCGGCTGAATCCGACGGCTGAAATGCCTTTGACAATATTTTTGAAAATGTTGGAATGTAGGCCGTTGATGAAGTCCGATTTCGATCTGACGGTCGACGATGAACTGGCCCAAATGAGTTGAAAGTTGGAATGTGGGCCGTAGATCAAGCAGATGTTGATCTGACGGTCGAAGACTGACGCGAAAAGAGAGGGAACCTGCTGACGCGAAGCGAATCCCAGGTATCATTGGCAATGTACCGCTCGCCGCGCCTCCATGTAACAATATCAAACCCTTTCGGGTGTCTACCGAATAGACTCCGAAATTCGCGGTGGATTGGTGCACGGGCTCAACCTCTCACTCAAGTGATCTGCTGGATCGCCCACAACTTTCCCTCCGTCGTCATATTTTTCGTATTCACCCCCCGACCATTCCGCTTCCCGCCGTTCACCCAGCGTCCGCTTTTGTCGGATGAGGTATCGTCGTTGTTGCCCGCGCGAACTCGGCCACGTTGGAGAGGCAAAACTATCGGAGTCGGGGAGCCTTAGTTAAAAGGATACTATCTCCTAACCGTTTTGCAGCCCGCCGTGCCTATCACGCCACGAAAATTCCACAGCTTCCCGGCCTCAACTTCGCCGCTGCGCCATCAATCCGTGTAGACGCCCGGGGTTTTCACTCTAAAAAGCGGGGTAGGCTAGGAAAGTAACTCTGATACCAGGTGTTATGAATGAACTTGAGTGCGCAGTAAAACGAATAACGAGAATGATTGAGTACTGAATTACTGAATGAGGAAACAATGAAGTAGCGAGGCCTAAATAGGGGAAAACCTAGCTAGGCGGGGGGTTCGGGATGGGATGGTTCGGTGATGGTTGCGATTGGAGTGGAGGCCGACTCGGGAGTGGTTCGGTGCGACGAAATAGGAAAGACAGGTTTGGCGCGTGACCCTTGGGATGGCCTCGCTAACGAGTGCCTCAGTAAGGATTTGTAAATCCTTATAGGAGGTCTGCTCGTATTTTCCAAGTCATGTGCTGCACCGCAAGAGTCTCGGTGAGCTTGCCGAAACTCGACCTCGCGAAAGTGTGGTAACCAAGAAGGTTCAGAAACGGAAACGTGGTTTGGAAAAGTTGGTGAGGAAGGTACAGTGTCACCACATGTCTGTTGACTTAACAATTCGGGGTTTGGGCTTTAGGAACTCAACCAATTTGCCCCAAGCCAACTCTTGCCCAAAAGAGTATCAGAGGGCAAATGGGCAACGAGACTGAAATGTGCATTAAGTGTATACTCTCTGCATCGAGTATTACTCGAAGTCGAAAAACGCAAAGCGCGTCTTTTCAGTCACATGTCCATCACATTGGTGCAACGAGGGACCGAAGGTGTGGTGGTGGTCTGTTTCTTCTGCGGCTGAAAACGGGGAGGAAAATAGTTTCGTGCTTGCGGGCAGATGACGGATGTTTATAAATGCTTGTGGTGTTTATATATAGATGCTTGTCTTTGCGAGTTATTCGTCGCGTTGTTATTAGCTGCCATGAGTTGGCTGCCTTAGAAATAGAGCTCGTATTGCTCCATGTACAAATTTTGGTGTACAGAAATGTTGGCATTTAACAAGAGCTGATTGCCCTCGCGCGGCTTCTGCGCCGTAAAGAGAACTTCAAGGCGAAATGACGCGCATCAGCGGAAATCATGTTTCTCTTAATTGGATCAGCCCAAATCACTCTGACCTCGCTACGTGGGCGTTTCCCTAAATTGGATGGACCCCGTTTGCGCGCGACTTCTCCCCGCGCAAATTTCCCGCCCTTCCCTACCAAAACTCGGGCACCAGGTGGAGATTCTTGAAATCACAAACAGTCACAATTCATTGTCTTTTCGTAACGCTAAGATTTAGACATGCGAGCGACATCTCATTGGACAGAACACTGATTTATATATTTCGCGTGCCAAAGTGACATGCAAGCAGTGCGTTTTGATTCTTCAATGTTGAATGACGTGCACGTTCGGTTGCGCCAGGAGCCTTTGGGGAACGCACAGTTAGAGCTGCGGTCTACATACTAAAAGGGGTTTTTGGGGGTAATCTAGGTGCACACCCTTCCGCGTTTGTTGATTGAAGAGCGAAGTGTATCCTTTCCCAAAACACCTGTGCGAGGGCTTCGCACCCCGCTGACGAGCGCAGTCAATTTCGTGAGTGAGTTCGCTTTCGGGGGCCCAAATCCGCGGAGAGGCGGAGATTTCTGCGCAAAACACAGGGAACCAAGCGGAAAATTCTGCGCCCATCCCCCTCCTTCCTTTCGCGTCGATTGTTCGTTTCTCGGACGGGACAGTGCTACCCTGTTTTCGGGTGGTGAACCAGGGCCTGTCCCTCGAAGTATGTAGATCGCAACTTTAAATTTGAAATTGTACCTTTACTTAATCGTCCATTTCCATATAAACCATACTCTGAAGTTAATGGTTGGTTGAGAGTATGGTCTATTATAAATCAAAGTATAATAATAAACTTTTATTTAGAGTACGGTTTCATATTAAGCATACTTTTTTTCACAATAATTTTATTGGAGGGTGATATTTCTATTCGAAATAATTGTTCACTCATATTTGCTTACGAATGACGTTTCTTATCATATGAGTTTATTTTTTTAACTAATAAAACAAGTCTAGATATTTCAGGGAAAATGTTTGTTTTAAATATTCAAAACAGCAGAAACTATAGTTACTCTGGCGCGCAAGAGCAATTACAAATGTTTCGACCAATCAGAAGTTCATCATGTGGCGAAAATGTAGAGGTACCCTAGAACGTTGCGTCTATTTGTGATAAAACTGAACTTCAGCATAGCTGAACGAATTTGTAGGGGAAGGGCGAGAAAATTGGGTTGGGGGGGCGCGCGTAAACGCGTTCCATCCAATTTAGGGAAACGTTCACGTGGCGAGGTCGGGGTAATTTGGGTCTATCCAATTGAGAAAAACGCGATTTCCGCCGATTTGCGTCATTTCGCCGAACTTCAAAGAGAAGAGCGGATGGTTCAGGTAGGGGCGGGTGGGACCTGCGGCCGGGGGACCTAGGGGCCGCTTCCTCGCCGTGCGGGGTGGGCGCCGGCTCACCACCACCGCCAGCGCGGCGCTCCACCACCATACAGCGACTGCCCTTGATGCGGTCAACCACTTTCCCCGCGCCCTCGTTCCGAAAAGAAGGTACTCGCGACTGAAGCCTACCAGCCACTCTAAGGCTAAAAAGGACCGCTCTTGATCGTACCAAGCCCTTTTCAGCCGCATTCGGAACACTCTAGACACGCAAACCCTTCTGCTTCATAGTCGTCTGACGTGGTTAAATACGTTCAATTACGTTTAGGCGCGGTTTCCAGGTTCCACCGCTTTAGACCAGCGCGCACCAGAACCATTCGGACCGATCACTCCAACGCACTTGTGCAGGAATTGCAATCGACTCTCCGTCTGACACTCGGATGAATCTGCGGAATCCAAGTTTGCCGAAGGCGGGACATTTCTTACTTGGAAAGTGCAAGACCCTGCGAACTACAAGATTCCTCCATGGAAGCCGCGACGCACCCGGCCGCCCCTCCCTTCACTCCTTGCCTCCCACCCCCCTCGTCGCGCGCTGTTAACTCCGAGGCTTCGCGGCCACTAAATTCTCCCGAGACGACATCCTCGCGACACTCAAGCGACCGCAGCGACGCGTCGCCGTCGTCGTCCGTCGCGTTCACCGACTCGTCCACCAGCGCGACGTCAAGCCCTCTCGCCCCATCATGCAGCAGTACGACACCGGACGGCCACGCGAGCCGGGATGCGAGCGACGCTTTACCACCAGAATTAGCTGTCAACGATGGAAAATGTATCGGCCACAACACCAACCCACCAACCCAACCTCTAGGAAACACCTCCTTTCGCGAAAAGCTGTTCGCAAGTCTGCGTTTGGTTCGCGAGTACATTCGCCACCCGCCGCGTTTACCAGTTCTCGTGAATGCGGTGGTCATTGTGACAATGGCGTGCGGCGTCTTCGCGCTGCTGACCGGCATCTACCGCGTCGCATTCACATCGGACCAGAAGCGCGCAGACTTGCTCGAATTCTCCATGCAGGTGCTGCAGGCGGCCGGTACCGTCGCCGCGTTGCTCCTGCACCCCACGCGCCTCGTCTACCTCCTCCGTCTCGTCCGCTGGCGGCCGTCCGATGTGATCAGCCTGCGGAAAGTCTTCTCGCGAGGCGACGCGGCGGTGGCGAAGCCTCACGAACGTCGCCACATGGCAGTGGTGATCGGGTTACTCAACATCGCGTGCGTGAGCCAGTACGGAATCTTCCTCTGCCTCTGCCTGCGCGCGCCCGCGGACCGCCGAATCTTCCCCGTGCTTGTATTTATATTCGGCGCGTTCGGCCTGGGCACTGTCGCGGGCGTTTACTTCCTGCTCTGCCCGCTCGGCCGCCAGCTTCATGTTGATGCCGCTCCGCCTGCGGCGCATAAGCGTAGTGCGGGGACGGCGGACGGGGATAACAGTACCGCGCGAGGAAGTCCGGCGGAGAAAGCCCGCGCGTGCGGTTTGTGGGGAATCAGCTCTCGGGGCAGAGGCGACGGCGGGGAGGAGCGGGGGACTGAGGGAAGCGAGCGGCGGGAGAGGGCGAGCGTGGTGAGAGCGCTGTTTCCGGACGAGGAGAGTGGCGATGGCGATAGTCCTGAGTGTGCTGGAGAAGACGGAAACAGTGACGACGCGGACAGTAGCAGCAGCAGCAGCGGCATCGGGAGAGACGGCCGCAGCAGCAACAGCAGCAGCAGCAGCAGTGAGATTAGCGGCATTGGAGGCAGCTGCACCACTGACCGCTATCGCCATATCCAACGCACTGAGAGTCACATCGAAGCTTGTCCGCCGCTGGCCCTTCCCCCTGCTGCCCTGGGCCCCCACGCTTACCCCTCTTCCCCCTCTTCCCAGTCCTTCAGCGCGCTTTCGTGCCACCTCTGGTCGTCCCCTGACCATCGTCCCTCACTCCGCCTCGGCTCCGCCCGCCTGCAGAGCTCGCGCAGCCAGCGCAGCAGCAGCTGCCACGTGGACAAGCGCGCTGTGTGGCAGCCGCGTGCGTCATGCGCAGGCGACAATCAGGGCTCAATGGCAGCGCAGGGAGCCGCCGTTACTAACGACGCACCCGAGTGGGCGGGGTCGCTGTGGGGAGTAGCAGACGACTGCGGAATCGCTGCGCGCGTGGCGCTCTGCTGCCCGTGCGCCTTCGCGCGGCACCTGCACCGTGCGGGCTTCGGCCATCCGTTCTTCCACGCGCTCAACCTGCTCCTCTTCCTGCTCGCCCCGCCGCTCGTCTTCACTGCATCCGCGCGCTTCATGACCAACCCCGCGCTGCACGCGCTCACCGTGGCGTTCGGCGTGGCGGGGGCGCTCATGGGGCTGCTGTACGGCGGGTACTGGCGGTGGAAGCTGCGGCGGACCTTCGACCTGCCTGCGCAGACATGGGTGTGCGGACACAAGGCGTTCTCGGATTTCGGCACGTGGGTTGCGTGCCCCTGCTGTGCGCTGTGCCAGGAGATGCGCACCGTGAAGGCGTACGGGCTCAGGGTTGTCGCCCCAGATGATGCCCAGCTGGAGGTGATTGTAACGGGGGGCAAGGGAGAAGCTAGGAGCAGCAGCAAGGGCCGGGCTGAGCGGGACAGTGTAACAATCTCAGTTACCACTGCACCGTGTGTCTTGAAAATGGAGATTGACGGTGACAGTGACAGGGCCTGTTAAGCATCGCCGTTGCTGTGACGCTCCGCATCGCCCCTCGCTTTGGAGAATAAGGTAGAGAGTGGATAGTGCAACGTGGATGGTGGATAGTGGAATGGGGCGAGAGGGGTGAGTGGTGGAAACGAGGGGGTTGGGAAACATGACTGTGAGAGGGAGAGGAGGGGGAAGGAGGGTGTGGGTGTGGGTTGGGGTCAGTCCAGTGAGATGAGCATGCAATGCATACCAAGGACTAGGGCCCTCGCTTGGTATCCATTGCATGCTCATCATGCTCACGTGCTGCCCGTGGATTGCTGTGCCATGGTTTTCTTGTGCCATGGTTTTCTTGTGCCATGGTTTTCTTGTGCTATGGTTTTTCTTGTTTTTTCTTGTCAGCTTTCGATTGGTCTCTTGCTGTAACCGATATAGGAAGCTGTAATTTTGGCAGTATAAGGCTGTCAGCCACCAACTACCAGCAGCAGGGGTGGGTTGGAAGTGGGGAAGTCGGGCGGATGGTCATGGGGAAGAGGCACGTGATGGGGTCAGCGAGGGAGGGGAGGGACGGCAGGGCCAAGGGGTGAGAGAGCAGGGAGGGTGGGGGAAGGTAGAGCACAAGGGGGAAGCAGGGAAGCAGGCCTACCGCCTGTTCCCCCTTGCAGCCCATCCTCCCCTTTCAACCACTCTGACTCCCATCCACATGCTCCCTGCCCACCCCGTTGTGCTTGCGATCAGGGTGTGGTAAGGGCGCGGGGTTTGTGAACCCATTTGATCAATAAATGACCACTACAACACAATTCAAACACAAACCCACAAAGAAACTCTCACGCCTCGATGTGTACAGTACAATACAGTCACTACGAAACCCACAAAGCAAAGCCCACATGAATGCAGCCTATCAATGGCGTCAAACACTTGTGAGCAGTACACAAATACGCACCAGGCAAAGCCCATATGAATCTAGCCCGTTACTAGCATGAATGGTAGCAGCAGCCTATCAATGGTGTGATGTGAACGTTTGCAGCAGCATTGGTGGTGTGAAGAAGGAAGCAGGCAATTACGGCTTGATGGTGAGGATGCTGGGCTCGAGAATGCAAGTGCTGCTGGCCCTGCCGTCCCATCAGCCCCTTGGCTGGTGCTCCTCAAGCCGCTGCACCAAAGAGGACAGAGAGGAAGAACAGAAAGAACTGATTTGCTTCCCAAGCGCCCCACTCTCCCACATTTCCCTCGCCCTCCCAGCCCCACCCCCACATTTTTCTTGCCCACGTCTTGGGGAGATGGCTGACACAAGAGGTTGACAAAACAATTTCGAGCTGACGTTTTTCCACTTTGTGAGAAAATGGAAGATAATACCCATACACAATCAGGTCGTTTCTCATTTTACCCTGATATCCCCAGGGTGGAAAAAACACTACGGTACTACGGTCTGACAGACCAGGTGAAGACAGCAAGGCACCCTGATTCTAAATGGTGTCATGCAAGTAGTTTTAGGCCCTGGTAACCCACACATTTCTGCAGGAGGTTGGGGAGAACGAAACACAAGACAATGTGTGTCCTCTCACTTGCTCACCGTTCTTGCCAATTAGTCCAACCCCTCATTTGCACCGGGGGCACACACGCTCGGGGTTGACTCCCTCACCATGCCCTCACCTCATGCCTCAAGCTCCACTCACCACGGCACTGCCCGTCATTGGCATCGTAGACCTGCGACCCAGGGCACACACACTGGTCCTGGCCGTCCCTCACAATGCACCTAGCTGCTGTCCCACAGTCCCCATCGCAGCCTGTGAGACAAGCATGGGGCGTTTGTGCAGGCAGGGTGGCGGGGCAAAGTGGGAAGTATATTCCCTTATTACAGCGAAGTTCAAACCGTGCGGAGCGGGAACCCGTTTCAAACCTGTTCCCACTCTTTTCAGTTCAAATTTTTCTGCATGCATTGGTCTTGGTCAGACGGTTACCAGCGTCGCTTCGACTCTTCTGACTCCTCAACTTCGGACTCAGTAGAGTCGGCTCCTACAGCATACAGGAATGCCTTCTCATAAAGTTTCATATCCTAACACTCCCCTTCATTCCTGGACGCGCAAGAGGCTGACTCGCTTGACTACTCCGGTGAGGTCGAAGCAGTGCTTATACTGCTGACGTGGCAGTTGCTTGGTGAGGAAGTCGGCTGCCATCTCGGTGGTGGGACAGTATGCGAGGTCAACTTTGCCCTGGTCAATTTCGCTCTTGACGAAAAAGTACCGAAGCGCGATGTGCTTCGTGCGGTTCACGAACCCTGGCTTGTTCGCGATCTTGATGGCGCTCTGGTTGTCGCAGTGAAGACGAAAGGTAGGCGAAGTTGGGATTTTTGCTTCCTGCAGCAGCTCTTGTCGGTACAGACCTTCGCTAACTGATGCTGTCGCGGCGATGTATTCTGCTTCGGCCGATGACAAGGCAACTAGCTGCTGCTTTTGCAAGTTCCAGGAGATTGGTCATGGCAGAAGACAAAGCCGGTTCTAGACCGTCGATTTGCAAGATCAGCGGCATGATCTGCGTCCATGTAGCCATTGAGGTTAAAGGAGGTTGTCGTTGTCGTCAGTGTGGAGTAGGAGAGCTCGATGTCAGGTGTGGAAATGAAGTACTGCAGGGCGCACTCCAGGTCCAGCTGGTTCTCAGCTACTGGCTTGTGAGAGTATTGTGCCAGTTGGCTGGCGATGTACAAAAGGTCGGGTCGGAATGTGACAGTGACGAACAACATGCACCCCAGTTGCTGCTGGTACGGTTGGAGTCCTGCGGATGATCGAGGTTTGTTGTTCGGTATGTAGTTGGCGCTGGGGTTGCGGTAAGGAGTTGACAGTGGTGCGGATGAGATGTGGAAGCGTCCCCCCAGCAGCTCTACGTACTTGAAGGCTGACAGCTGAATTGCTTCTGGCGTGCAGGTGATGTTCAGACCCAGAAACTGTGTGACGTTGTGGTTGATAGTGATGTCAACGCACTGCGCCAGGTTCTTTTCGAACTGATTAAGGAGCTTACTGGTCTATAGCAGGTCGTCGACGTAGACGGTCACGAGAATGTAGTCACCGTTGAAGTGGAGATGGTACATTCCCGGGTCATGCGGCAGCTGCCTGAAGCCAATTTCCAGGAGGATTTTTTGCAGGCTATTGCCAGAGACGCGGTGCCTGCTTTATCCCGTAGTCAGATTTCTTCAGCTGACAGACTCTTGGGTCTCCTTCCCCGTAGGTGTGTGGCTGCTCTACGAAGATGGTTGCATCCACCAGCGCATATAAAAATGTGTTCTTGACGTCGATCTGCCGCAGTGGTAAATGCTTAGCGGCGGCAATGGCGAGTAAAATCCTGACGGAGGTGTGACGGCTGACGGGAGCAAAGGTTTGATTAAAATCAATGCTGTGGCGCTGGTCATACCCGCTTACGACCCAGCGTGCCTTGAAGCGCTCGATAGTGTTGATTGTGTCAAATGATATATATGCTATATATGCTTAGGCTGTAGTGGGGTAGCCAATATGGGGTATAGCCCCTTTTAGGGTTTCATATTTGTACCCATCTCTTTCATAGTTCATTCATTCCTACTGCCAGATTCTAACATGGTTTCAGAGCACTAGGTCCGTAGGACCGTTTTTTTTTTTTTCGGGCCCACCTACTGTTGCGGTTACCGCGCTACCCCACGTGTTGTCCTGTGCCTGCCTGCCTTGCCTCGTGACGTGCTGCGCTGCGCGCGCCGTCCTGCAGCCCTCGCGCTGCCTCCTGCTGCCCTAGGCCAGTGCGCCGCCCCTGCAAGCTCGTAAGGCCCTCGAGCCGCCCCTGCAGGCCCGTCAGGCCCCCGAGCCGCCTCTGCAGGCCCGACAGGCCCTCGAGCCGCCCCTGCAGGCCCGTCAGGCCCCCGAGCCGCCTCTGCAGGCCCGTCAGCCCCCCGAGCCGCCTCTGCAGGCCCGTCAGGCCCCCGAGTCGCCCCTGCAGGCCCGTCAGCCCCCCCGAGCCGCCACCTGCAGGCCCGTCAGGCCCGCGAGCCGCCCCTGCAGGCCCGTCAGGCCGGCGCGCTGCCCCTGCAGAACCTTGCCGCCCACGCGCGGCCTCTTCCCGACTGCGCGCTGCCCATACAGGCCCTCGCCGCCCGCGCGCAGCCTCTGCCCGACCGCGCGCCGCCCCTGCAGGCCCTCGCCGCCCGCGCGCAGCCTCTGCCAGATCGCGCGCCGCCCCTGCAGGCCCTCGCCGCCCGCGCGCAGCCTCTGCAGGCCCGTCAGGCCAGCGCGCGACCCCGTCAGGTCGCTGTCGCGGCCCCGTCAGGCCGTAGTCGCGGCCCCGCCTTGTCGCTGACGCGGCCCCACCCTGCCGCGGTCGCGGCCCTGCCCTGCCGCCGACGCGGACGCGGCCCCACCCTGCCGCGGTCGCGGCCCTGCCCTGCCGTGACGCGGCCCCGCCAGCCCTGCAGCTGACGCGGCCGTGCCCTGCTGCTGACGCGGCCGCGCCTTGCTGCTGACGCGGCCACGCCCTGCTGCTGACGCGGCCGCGCCCAGCTACTGACGCGGCCCCGCCAGCCCTGTAGCTGACGCGGCCGCGCCCTGCCACCGACCCGGCCCCGCCCGGACGCCGACGCGGCCCCGCCAGTCCTGCAGTTGCCGCGGCCCCGACCTGCCGCTGGTGCGACCCCGCCCTGCAGCTGCCGCGGCCGCGCCCTGCCGCCAACGCGGCCCCGCCTGGACGCTGATGCGGCCCCGACCTGCTGCTGGCGCGACCCCGCCCTACAACTGCCGCGGCCCTACTCTGCAGCCGCTGATGCGGCCCCGCCGAGCGCCGGACCTGCCTGCCACTGGTGAGCACCTGCCTTGTTCGTGCGCTGCCGCCTGCCTGCCTGCCTGCCCGCCTGCCTGCCTGACTGCCTGCCTGCCGGCCTGCCTGCCCGCTTGCCTGCCTGCCGCGCCTGCCTTGCACGCGCTGCTGCTGCTACTACTGCTATTGCTACTGCTACTGCTACTGCTGCTACTGGCGACGGCCAGATGCAGCTCCAGCGACGTCCGCGTGAGTCCCTCACGCCC